TTTTCTCCTTGGAATCGAATTTTCTCGCTGTAAAAAAAAAAAAAAAAAAAAAAAAAAAGAAAAAAGAAAGAAAAGAGCCGAAAAATAACACGCTTTCGCCACACGTGTATATCTTTCTTAGTTTCTCGTCGTACGTGCATACCCTGTTCGTACGTGAACGATCTTCGAGGATGGCAAGAGCGTACAGATCGAGGTAAAGAGAGAAAGAAAAGAAGGAAAGAAGAAGAAAATCAGGGAAGTAGGCGTGCATCGTTTTAAGCATCGAATCTTACGGTTTTCAGTAGAGAACGGGGAAAAGAGAAAGAAAAGGGAATATAATTTATCGCCGCGACGTTGTTATTATTATTATTATTATTATTAATATTATTATTATTATTATTATTGTGTAAGAGCGACGAGAAAGGAAAGAAAAAAAGGAAAACTGGAATTTACAGAATTTGTCATAATTTATCGCTCGCAGCTGGAGCTAGTTCTAGTTTTTGCTCTTCCTTCGAGAAACAAACCAATGAAACAACTATGTATGTATTTCGGAATTAATCAAGTTCGATTCTCTGGCGGGTCGATCGGGAATCAAGGGAAATTAATTAAGCTTGCATTAATTCGACACTCTTGATGTGAGTTCGTCCGTTAACTCCTGAACTGAAGTGCAATTGTGAAAAAGAAAAAAGAAAAAAAAAACAAGAAAAAGAAATGATGACCGTCGTTGTCCATTTGCTTGTTCGTTTCTTCGCGTACGTGTATCTCGACGACGATGCGACGAGTGTGTGTGTGAGAATGTTTCCGACATCTTCTCGTACGTTCTCTTTTTTTTTCTCTCTCTCTCTCTTTTCGCCTTCGTTTTCTTTCTTTTGTTTCTTCTTCTTGTTCATCGATGTCCTGTTGACTTGAGTTTAATCCTTTATTGTGCGACGACAAGAATAATAATCAAAATAGGCAGCTGGTTCGATATAACCGCCGAACTATGCGGAGTAACGCGAACGCAGATCTCCTCGTCGAGGAGAGACCGACACGCACTCCGAGGGTCGGTGCCGATTTTATTACTTGTACTTTATCCAAACAACGTAGTAGGATAGATAATTCTTAATCAGCGACGAACGTGTATAATCTTGTATTTTTTGAAGTTTGGAGCGGAAGTGGCAATGAATTTTTTACATATACGACACACCAAGAGGAGGCAATAACTGTTAAGCGAGGCGCCAAGAACAAAAAAAGAAAAAAAAAAAAAAAATGGAGCTAAACGATCGTCCGTTTTTACTTGTCATTTCCTGTTTTTCTTTCTCTCTCTTTTTTTATTCTCTCTCGTTTGCTTTGCTACCTTTTGTTCAAACTTTCTTCCTGTTTCTTTTTCTTTTTTTTTTTTTCTTTTTTTTTCCGTTTACGATCTCGAATGCGGTTGCGATGCGAGATTCAGAGTTTACTGCGGCGTGCGGAAGGTTTGTTAATTTAAAAAAAAAGGAAAGGGAAACGCTTCATTCGTGACGTTGATTGCGAGAGGAGGCGTGGTCGAGTCAACAAATGTGCAACCCATGTCTAAATCAATTTCGAACGTCTCCTTTCTCCGTGCAGGCAGTCTGGTTTCGCGTTTTTCTCTCCGCCACTTATGTTCAATTGTAGGGACTCGAAGTAATTACCGGAGTTAGGAAAAGCCGAAGAAAGAGAAAAAAAAAAAAAAAAAAGAAAAAAGAAAACGGAACGTTTGTTTTAGACCGGAAGTGGCGGTGGCGGGGGAACCCCGATGAAACGATACGACCTCCGTCATCGTTTCAAATATTTTCGAGAGGCAGAACGAGTTTTCTTTCACGACACGACGAGCGCTCACCGTTTCACCGCGTTCCCTGCGTCTGCTCGCCGAATTCTAGTTAAATAATAAATAAAGGAGAAACGAAGCGTTTTTTAAATTAAACGAGATAAAACGAGTAACCATGTTTGCCTTTCTCTCTCTTTTATTACTTTATCTCCAGACTTTCCAGCATCCATCTTTTATTGTCCTCTTCTATTTTTTTTTTTTTTTTTATTTCTCTG